AATGTGCATGGATGTAGTGCGGATGACAAGAAACAGATGATTGCTGATGTTATGAATGAAAAGAAGTTGGATGTCCTGGCCCTAAGCGAAACAAAGCTGAAGGGGGTAGGGGAGTTTCAGTGGGGGGAAATAAATGGGATTAAATCTGGAGTATCTGAGAGAGTTAGAGCAAAGGAAGGGGTAGCAGTAATGTTGAATGATCAGTTATGGAAGGAGAAAATAGAATATGAATGTGTAAATTCAAGAATTATGAGGATTAAAGTAAAGGTTGGATGTGAGAAGTGGGTCATAATAAGCGTGTATGCACCTGGAGAAGAGAGGAATGCAGAGGAGAGAGAGAGATTTTGGGAGATGTTAAGTGAATGTATAGGAGCCTTTGAACCAAGTGAGAGAGTAATTGTGGTAGGGGACCTGAATGCTAAAGTAGGAGAAACTTTTAGAGAGGGTGTGGTAGGTAAGTTTGGGGTGCCAGGTGTAAATGATAATGGGAGCCCTTTGATTGAACTTTGTATAGAAAGGGGTTTAGTTATAGGTAATACATATTTTAAGAAAAAGAGGATAAATAAGTATACAAGATATGATGTAGGGCGAAATGACAGTAGTTTGTTGGATTATGTATTGGTAGATAAAAGACTGTTGAGTAGACTTCAGGATGTACATGTTTATAGAGGGCCACAGATATATCAGATCACTTTCTAGTTGTAGCTACACTGAGAGTAAAAGGTAGATGGGATACAAGGCGAATAGAAGTATCAGGGAAGAGAGAGGTGAAGGTTATAAACTAAAAGAGGAGGCAGTTAGGGTAAGATATAAACAGCTATTGGAGGATAGATGGGCTAATGAGAGCATAGGCAATGGGGTCGAAGAGGTATGGGGTAGGTTTAAAAATGTAGTGTTAGAGTGTTCAGCAGAAGTTTGTGGTTACAGGAAAGTGGGTGCGGGAGGGAAGAGGAGTGATTGGTGGAATGATGATGTAAAGAAGTAGTAAGGGAGAAAAAGTTAGCATATGAGAAGTTTTTACAAAGTAGAAGTGATGCAAGGAGGGAAGAGTATATGGAGAAAAAGCGAGAGGTTAAGAGAGTGGTGAAGCAATGTAAAAAGAGAGCAAATGAGAGAGTGGGTGAGATGTTATCAACAAATTTTGTTGAAAATAAGAAAAAGTTTTGGAGTGAGATTAACAAGTTAAGAACGCCTAGAGAACAAATGGATTTGTCAGTTAAAAATAGGAGAGGAGAGTTATTAAATGGAGAGTTAGAGGTATTGGGAAGATGGAGGGAATATTTTGAGGAATTGTTAAATGTTTTTGAAGATAGGGAAGCTGTGATTTCGTGTATAGGACAAGGAGGAATAACATCTTGTAGGAGTGAGGAAGAGCCAGTTGTGAGTGTGGGGGAAGTTCGTGAGGCAGTAGGTAAAATGAAAGGGGGTAAGGCAGCCGGGATTGATGGGATAAAGATAAAAATGTTAAAAGCAGGTGGGGATATAGTTTTGGAGTGGTTAGTGCAATTATTTAATAAATGTATGGAAGAGGGTAAGGTACCTAGGGATTGGCAGAGAGCATGCATAGTTCCTTTGTATAAAGCAAAGGGGATAAAAGAGAGTGCAAAAATTATAGGGGATAAGTCTGCTGAGTATACCTGGTAAAGTGTATGGTAGAGTTATTATTGAAAGAATTAAGAGTAAGACGGAGAATAGGATAGCAGATGAACAAGGAGGCTTTAGGAAAGGTAGGGGGTGTGTGGACCAGGTGTTTACAGTGAAACATATAAGTGAACAGTATTTAGATAAGGCTAAAGAGGTCTTTGTGGCATTTATGGATTTGGAAAAGGCGTATGACAGGGTGGATAGGGGGGCAATGTGGCAGATGTTGCAAGTGTATGGTGTAGGAGGTAGGTTACTGAAAGCAGTGAAGAGTTTTTACGAGGATAGTGAGGCTCAAGTTAGAGTATGTAGGAAAGAGGGAAATTTTTTCCCAGTAAAAGTAGGCCTTAGACAAGGATGTGTGATGTCACCGTGGTTGTTTAATATATTTATAGATGGGGTTGTAAGAGAAGTAAATGCGAGAGTCTTGGCAAGAGGCGTGGAGTTAAAAGATAAAGAATCACACACAAAGTGGGAGTTGTCACAGCTGCTCTTTGCTGATGACACTGTGCTCTTGGGAGATTCTGAAGAGAAGTTGCAGAGATTGGTGGATGAATTTGGTAGGGTGTGCAAAAGAAGAAAATTAAAGGTGAATAAAGGAAAGAGTAAGGTTATGAGGATAACAAAAAGATTAGGTGATGAAAGATTGAATATCGGACTGGAGGGAGAGAGTATGGAGGAGGTGAATGTATTCAGATATTTGGGAGTGGACATGTCAGCGGATGGGACTATGAAAGATGAGGTGAATCATAGAATTGATGAGGGGAAAAGAGTGAGTGGTGCACTTAGGAGTCTGTGGAGACAAAGAACTTTGTCCTTGGAGGCAAAGAGGGGAATGTATGAGAGTATAGTTTTACCAACACTCTTATATGGGTGTGAAGCATGGGTGATGAATGTTGCAGTGAGGAGAAGGCTGGAGGCAGTGGAGATGTCATGTCTGAGGGCAATGTGTGGTGTGAATATAATGCAGAGAATTCGTAGTTTGGAAGTTAGGAGGAGCTGCGGGATTACCAAAACTGTTGTCCAGAGGGCTGAGGAAGGGTTGTTGAGGTGGTTCGGACATGTAGAGAGAATGGAGTGAAACAGAGTGACTTCAAGAGTGTATCAGTCTGTAGTGGAAGGAAGGCGGGGTAGGGGTCGGCCTAGGAAAGGTTGGAGAGAGGGGGTAAAGGAGGTTTTGTGTGCGAGGGGCTTGGACTTCCAGCAGGCATGCGTGAGCGTGTTTGATAGGAGTGAATGGAGACAAATGGTTTTTAATACTTGACGTGCTGTTGGAGTGTGAGCAAAGTAACATTTATGAAGGGGTTCAGGGAAACCGGCAGGCCGGACTTGAGTCCTGGAGATGGGAAGTACAGTGCCTGCACTCTGAAGGAGGGGTGTTAATGTTGCAGTTTAAAAACTGTAGTGTAAAGCACCCTTCTGGCAAGACAGTGATGGAGTGAATGATGGTGAAAGTTTTTCTTTTTCGGGCCACCCTGCCTTGGTGGGAATCGGCCGGTGTGATATAATAATAAAAATAAATAAAAATATATATATATATATATATATATATATATATATATATATATATATATATATATATATATATAATATATATATAATTTTTTTTTTTTTTTTTTTCAACAAGTCGGCCGTCTCCCACCGAGGCAGGGTGACCCAAAAAAGAAAGAAAATCCCCAAAAAGAAAATACTTTCATCATCATTCAACACTTTCACCACACTCGCACATTATCACTGTTTTTGCAGAGGTGCTCAGAATACAACAGTCTAGAAGCATACACATATAAAGATACACAACATATCCCTCCAAACTGCCAATATCCCAAACCCCTCCTTTAAAGTGCAGGCATTGTACTTCCCATTTCCAGGACTCAAGTCCGACTATATGAAAATAACCGGTTTCCCTGAATCCCTTCACTAAATATTACCCTGTTCACACTCCAACAGATCGTCAGGTCCCAAGTACCATTCGTCTCCATTCACTCCTATCTAACACGCTCACGCACGCTTGCTGGAAGTCCAAGCCCCTTGCCCACAAAACCTCCTTTATCCCCTCTCTCCAACCCTTTCGAGGACGACCCCTACCCCGCCTTCCTTCCCCTATAGATTTATATGCTTTCCATGTCATTCTACTTTGATCCATTCTCTCTAAATGACCAAACCACCTCAACAACCCCTCTTCTGCCCTCTGACTAATACTTTTATTAACTCCACACCTTCTCCTAATTTCCACACTCCGAATTTTCTGCATAATATTTACACTACACATTGCCCTTAAACAGGACATCTCCACTGCCTCCAACCGTCTCCTCGCTGCTGCATTTACCACCCAAGCTTCACACCCATATAAGAGTGTTGGTACTACTATACTTTCATACATTCCCTTCTTTGCCTCCATAGATAACGTTTTTTGACTCCACATATACCTCAATGATAATAATAATAATTTGCATTTCAGATTCAGTGGAATCTTGGTGTTTGAAGTTCGATGTTCAGAACCGTGTTTCCCATTGAAATACGTGTAAGTGTAATTAATTGGTTCTGGGCCATGAAAAGTTACCCCATAATGCAGCTCACTGTATACTGTAATCAGTATGTAATTAATATAATGCCTGTTACTAAAATAAATGAACAGAGAAAATAGAGCTTTACCTTTATTGACTTGAGTTGACTGGCACAGGTGGAAGTTGCAGAGGAAGGAGGCTACTGTATGGAGGGGAAGACTTCTTCCATAAAAACAACCAGTAACTCTGCCTCTGAAGTGATGTGGTCTCGTTTCTGTCTCTTTGCACTAAAACTAGAAGATTCTGGGGACTCGGAACTGGCATGTACATTTGTTTTTTTCTGTTTTAGAAGGAATCTATTCAGTGTGGTCTGTCTGCTTACCCCTCATAATCTTCCAAAAGTGTTCAGTCACATCATCACTGCAGGAATTCATGTGGCTCACCAGAGCAATGTCTGGGTGCCTTTTCTCCACTATGTTGTGTGTTTTTGACCAGTTAAATTTTTTTTTTTTTTTTTAGTTCATCAGTGGAAATTTTGACATTGCATACCACCTCATCATTCGATGAAGAAAATTCCTCTCCAGTTCCTGTTCTTGCATGTTCAGACTCCAGAAAAATGTACAAAGACTGGATCAATTTTTTTCTGGAAGTTGTTCATACTCCAGTTCATTTGAAGTCTGGTTCATTTGAACACCGAGGTTCCGCTGTATATTACTTTAGGATAGGGGACTAGGAATGCCTCCCATGATCGCTTTTATAAAGTGAAGTCATGTATGGTTTCACTTAATTTTTGTTTTATTTGATTTTTCAAATAAAAAATTCTTTCGATAATTTAGTGTCTTGTTCCCTCGGCAGGTCCCATTCCTGGGTTAACTGAAAGTGGTAAAGTACGAGTTGATTGGTGGAAGAAGGTGCTTGAAGACTTCATTGGCAAAGATTATGAAGAGAATGAATATTTGGACAAAGTGGAGCACAGTGGTAAACTTATATTATTACTGGATATCTTAAGAGAGTGCTCTTCTATCGGTGATAAAGTGTAAGTTTTGTCTGTCTCTTGTATAGTTCATCATTTCCTTGCTATATTTTTGTTACATGATGATAAATGACATTTTCCTTTCTGTGTGTAGAGTGCAGTGCTTCAAAGTGAAAATGGATTCTAATTAACATTACAAAAATGCTCTCCGCTCCTTTTGTTTATTTAGATTGGGATTTCACATTGTCTGATAACACTATACGTTTGAGCATTTTTATGTTATCGTTTTTCTTTTAAGATATATTTTTTCATTAAGACAGTGATGTTTCAGCTTGGTAATGTTAAGCATCATAGTAAAAAGTAATACTTAATTTTTTATTTTTGGCATGAATTATAGTTTTATGATCTGTTGTATTATTTCAAATCTTCGTGTGTTCTACATTAATTCTGATTCAAAGTTTGTGTAGTATTCTACTCTTCTTCCCAGAATACTGGAAGGATCCTAGATTTGAATACTGACCAACAGGTATTTCTCCTGGATATTCAGCTCTGACAAAATTTAAAATATGCCATGTAACTCATTGTATATTCTCTTAATTTATTACAAATTATGTATGAACATTTCATACTGTTTATTCATATTAGACTCTGTCATTTCTATTAACCCTTTGAGGGTCGACAGGCCCTCTCCGAAACTCGTTCTCAGGGTCGGCCAAATTTAAAAAAAAAAAAATTATTTTCTTTTATGAAAAGATAGAGAATCTTTTCCCGATCATAAAGACACCAAAAGTTTGAAATTTGATAGAAAACTTACGGAATTATGCTCTCGCAAAGTTAGCGGTCTCTGCGATGTTTACGCATCGGCGATTTTGCCCACTTTGAGCCCCATTTTCGGCCAATTTCACTGTACTAGTCGACAAAAAACATGAATATTTCGCTAGAACTCCATTTTTTCTATCGAATGGGTGCAAGAAACCACTCATTTATGAAATTCAACTATCCAGTACAGTGGTCAGAATTTAGCAATTTTGCCAATTTCACACAAATTTCAAAAGATGCCAATTTCCGAATAGGGTCCAGAATAAACAAGAAAGACATTCCTGGCACTAAAATGACATTTCCTCTGGTCATTAGTCACGTCTCAAGGCCCCTCTTATATTCTTTTGCTTTCCACTTTGAATTTTTATTTTCACAAAAAATATAAGATTTACTGTTATGCAGACTACTGCATTAGTGTAAAAAATGGTATAAATATTATTGGTGCACTTGTGAAAGAATATTAGACTCACCAGTTGACGTGTATTGCACGCTTGGCACGATTTGTTTACTTTTGAAGTTTGGTAAAAATCGAACATTTCTGCTACTTTGAGCTCAATTTCAAGGCACCTTTCTTTGTAAAACCAGTCAAAATCATCTCAATTTCTGTAATATGTCTTCAATTCTATAAAATGAGACCAAGAAAACTAGAATACAACAATAAATACCATACGAAAATACACTGCAAAGTCGCTGATTTATTCAAAAAAAATTGTCAAAGTTTTTTTTTCTCATTATGCACTGTGTGCTGCAGGATTTTTTTTAGACTGTGCACACTGACCACATAGACCCATTCTTTCATATGAAGGCCTACCAGCTTTCTCCCACTAGATTTGAGGCCGCTAGAATTTATGAGTACTAGTACGTCAAAAACCCCTACGCGTAAGACGTACTAGTACGACGAAAACCCTCAAAGGGTTAAAGTTTGTGCATTCCCATGTTGAATTAGTATAAAAATGAGTGCTCATTACTAAAATAATTTCCTCCTAGATTTTGATTGAAAGAAAGCAAAAAGTTAAAAGTATGTAGTACTGTGTAACCGTTGACCTTGCTTGCTCGTAGAATGAGGAACATTAGTTTTCATACTGGAGCACCATTTAGTAGTATGTTTAATCTCACCTTTATGTACTTCCCTATTGGTGGTTGTAGAGGTTGAGTATTAGCTCCTGGTCCCTCATCTCACCTTGCCGCTTACCAGATTCATTCCTTCTTAGCCTCGTACCTATTTTTAAAACTGTGTAGAACCGTCTGCCACCTCTTTGTCGGTCATTCCACTTCATGACCACCCTCAGACTGAAGAAATATTTTCTGACATCTCTGACTCGTGTGTCTCTTAAACTTATAGTTAAACACAGATGATCTTGTTTCTGCCTACCCTATGAATTCACCTGAGAATATTATATGTTGTTATCTCTTCCCTATTTCTTTTATGCTCTAGTTTCATTAGATTAAATTCTATTAGCCTCTCCTCTTAGCTCGTACATCTTAGTTACAGAATAGTCTTGTTGCATACTTCTACACCTTATCACGTGGGTTTCATACCAGTGCTGCATGCCCAAATGTGGGACAGAATGACACTTTGTTGAGATTTCCTACATTGGCTACAGAGGTTATTCAGTTGATGTGAACCTCTGGCAATATCTTCAGCACTATGCTCACCTTTAGGTCTTTCTGAGTAAGATCTGCAACCTCTGTATTCCAACTCTGTACTACATGTCCAATTTTCTGGCCCCCTTCCCAATCTTCATAACCTTTCATTTGCTGGTGTTACATTCAAGCAACACCTATGTGACCAATCCTGCAGTTTATTTAGATCCATTTGCTGCTTTTCCTTGTTTCTCTCTGCTTTTATTCTTGTTAGCTTTACATCTCCAAAAAGAAATACATTTGACTTGGTTCTATCTCATCCTCCACATTGCATTTGCAGTGGCCACTGCCTTTATATTCTTTTTCACTTATTTGTTGAATGTTATTCTTATGTTTTGCTGCCTCATGAAGTGATAATTAAAGGAATTTGCTTTGCCAGGCATTGTCTGGTAGATAGTTATGCTTAGTCTCCACTCAAGTTTATTATTCATGCCATGTACCATTTTCATAAACAGTATAGTCATTAAATATTAAAGTGAGTTATTTCATTTATTATTTTTTTCTGTCTGTCAGGCTGATTTTCAGTCAGTCTCTATTGGCCTTGGATATGATTGAAGATTTCCTTCAGTGGATAGATGAAGGGATCGTGGAAATGCCAGCACCTGATGAGCCTCTACCTCTACCCTTCAAACAGTGGAAGAAAGAGCGGGATTACCTACGTCTTGATGGCTCATCTACTGCAGATACACGAAAGAATATGTGCAAGACCTTTAATAATCCCTCAAATGAAAGGTAAGATACAATAGCTTTGCTCTTCTTGATGTTTGATGACTTAGAAACACATGCAAGTAAAGTTATTTTTTTTATTTTTAAGATGCTGTCAGTTTCCTACCGAGGCAGGGTGACCCAAAAAAGAAACACTTGCATCATCATTCACACTATCACTGTTAATACTATCAACCATTTCCAATTAAGGTACAGTGACCTTAAAGAAGGAAATACATTAACCATCTTTCATTTCTTAACTGTCTTTCCAGATGTGCACTGACAATTTAAATTACCCACCAGACTGCAGCATCCCTATGTAAACCCAGACTGCTGAGCCCTGTTAACTGATTCATCAGAATTCCTTAACCCTTTTACTGTTGAGACCCCCTGCTCGCAAACTTGCTCTCACTGTCAAAGAATTTACAAAAAAAAAATGTTATGAAAAGATAGAGAATCTTTTCCCAATGGTAATGAAACCAGAAGTACGAAATTTGATGGAAAACTTGCAGAATTATGCTCTAACAAAGTTAGCGGTCTTGGCGATATTTATGCATTGGCAATTTCGCCCAATTTGAGCCCTATTTTGGGCAAATTCTATTGGTCCAGTCGACTATATTCGTAGCTGTTTCGCTAGCACTCCTTTTGTTCTGTCGATTGAATAAAGAAACCACCCATTTACCTATTTAACTACCCAATAAAGCAATCAGAAATTGGTAATTTGGCCAATTTCATAGAAAAGTCAAGAAAGGCCAATTTCAAAATAGGGTCTAGAATAAACAGTGCAAACATTCCTAGCACTAAAATAATGTTTTCTCTGTTCATTAGTCACGTCTCCAGGTCCCTCTTATTTTACACTTGCTTTCCATTTGGAATTTTTATTCACAAACAAAAAATAGAAGATTTACTGTTATGCAGACTATTGCATTATTGCAAAAATGGTATAAATAATATCAGCGCAATTCTGTATTGGACACGTGATGTGATTTGTTTACTCTTGAACATCGTCAAAAATTGAACATTTCCTCTACTTTGAGCTCACTTTCAAGGTACATACTATTAATATGTAAACTATTCAAAATCATCTGTATTTCTGTAATATCGCATTTTATCAAATGAGACCAAGAAAACGAGAATACAACCATAAATACCATACAAAAATACACAGCAAAGTCGCTGTTTTAGACCAAAAACAGTGACAACTTTTTTTTCTCTTGCACTACGTGCTGCAGGGTATTTTTCATACTGCGCATACTGACCACTCAGACTCATTCTCTCATAGGTAGGCCTACCAGGTATCTCCCACAAGATTGGAAACTGCTAGAATTTTGGCGTAGTATTAGTGGACCGACACTGGCTTTAAAGCCGTAATATTATGGGACCGACAGTGAAAGGGTTAATAGATGTCATCCTGCTTCTCACCAACAGTACATTAAATCTAAATACTACTAGTCTCAGCTTCCAAGCTAACACACTCAGGCCCCTACCACTTAAAACCTTCCAACCCTTGTACCATGTGCCACCTTCCATCTATCCCATATTCATCCTTTTGGTCAACTGATCTTGCGCTGTCCTTTCTAAGTGAGCGAACCCTATCGCTAACCCCCCTTCACCTCTCTCTGAAGCACACCTTGCATGCCAATCTCGCCAAAAAATTTCTTCACTTTCAATTCCCTGTATAATGCTCACACTACACCTGGAAAGAACTATTGCCCAAACCTGTCTCATGAGGTATAAATAACAAGAATAACATCAGCACAGGCTGAGGTAGTAAACAGAATGGTTTTCAGTCTAAAGTACTTACACCTCATGTATGTATATATTCTTAAATATGCAGAATCATTGAAGAACACTCGCTTAGTAAAACACTAAGTGAAATATGAGAGAGTGCAAAGAAGGGCATCAAGACTGGTCTCTGAGTTGATGAGGGTAACAAACTATGTAGAACGCCTGAACTAGGCCTCATGCTGATGACACTGTTCTCTTGGGAGATTCTGAAGAGAAGTTGCAGAGGTTGGTGAACATGTTTGAAAGGGTATGTAAAAGAAGGAAATTAAAAGTGAACATAGGAAAGAGCAAGGTGATGAGGATAAACAAAAAATTTAGGTAATGAAACATTGGATACTAGATTGGAAGGGGGGATTTTGGAGGAAGTGGATGTATTCAAATATTTGGGAGTGGATTTGTAGGCAAATGGGTCTATGGAAGACAAGTTGAATTATGGAATTGATGATGGGAAAAAGGTGAGTGGAGCACTGAAGAGTCTGTGGAGACAAAGATCTTTATCCATGTAACCAAAGAGTGGAATATATGAGAATAGTGGTACCAGTGCTCTTTTTGTGGCTGTGAAGCATGGGTTGTGAATGTTGGAACAAGAAGACTGGAGGCAGTGGAGATGTCATGTCTAAGGGCAATGTGCAGTGTGAATATAATGTAGAGAATCTGTAGCTTGGAGATTAGTAGGAGGTGCAGGGTTTCTAAAAGTATTATCCATAGGGCAGAGTAGGGGTTGCTGAGGTGATTTGGACATTTAGAGAGATGGAACAAAATAGAATGACTTGGAGGCCATATATATATCTGTAGGGGATGTCCTAAGAAAGGATGGAGAGGGGGTAAAGGAGGTTTTTGTGTGCTAGGAGCTTGGACTTCCAGCTAGCACATGCAAGAGTGTTACATGGGAAGAAGTGGAGATAAATGGTTTTTATGACAATGTGCTGTTGGGGTGTGAGAAATGTAACATTTATGAAGGGATTCACAGAAACTGATTAGCTAGACTGAGTCCTGGAGGTGGGAAGTACACTGCCTTCACTCAGGATGTGGGGTGTTGATGTGTTGCAGTTTTTTAACTGTAGTGTAGGCACGCTTCTGGCAAGACAGTGAGGATGGTGAAAGTGTTTCTTCTTCGGGTTACCCTGCTTCAGTGGGAAATGGCTGATATGTTAATAAAAAAAAAGTACTAAGGGTCATTTACATGGTAGAGAAAAATAAGCTCTTCACCAGAGATACAACAGAAAATAGTGGTATGGTTGGAAAGTATATATCCAAATTAACTTACATTCTTCAACTCACTGCTAGCAGAAGACAGCTAACTTGTACACTACTAAAAAAAAAAAAAAAAAAAAAAAATGTGGCGAGGGAAGGCATAGCTGGGATACTTAGAAAGTAATCCTTTTATTCCCGTTTGTTCTTTACTTCATGCAACTTAATTACATGTTACATGCAAATTCTCGAGAACATAACCCTCACATTACGAGTCTGATTACTGTAAATCACAAATGATTATTTTTTTCATTAACTTGGTATTGCTCATTTCAGATGTCGACTCTTCCTTATCTCAACTCGTGCTGGGGGTCTAGGTATCAATCTGGTTGCTGCTAACAGAGTAATTATCTTTGATTCTTCCTGGAATCCATCCCATGACACTCAGTCCATCTTCAGGGTATATCGCTTTGGACAGAAAAAGCCATGTTATGTCTACCGTTTTGTTGCACAGGTAACACTTTCAAATGTTTATCTTCATAATAATGTGTTCCTTATAACTATTAATAGTAAATAGGCAGGGCCGGTGTGTTGAAAGAAAGCAGGGCTGTGGAGTCAAGAGTTGGAAGCAATTCTTGGGTTACTGGAGTCGGAGTCTGTAAAATGCAACTTAACCCTTTGACTGTTTTGGTCGTATATATATATGTCTTACGCGCCAATGTGTTTGACTTATATATACTCAAAAAATTTAGCGGCTTCAAATCAAGCAGGAGAAAGCTGGTAGGCCCACATGTGAGAGAATGGGTCTGTATAGTCAGTGTGTGCAGTATAAAAAATATCCTGCATCATGCACTGCATAATGAAAGAAAAAAACTCCAACTGTGTTTTTGGATTAAAATGCCGACTCTGAGGTGTATTTTCGTATAGTATTTATGGTTGTAGAAGTGATGCAAGGAGGAAAGAGTATATGGAGAAAAAGAGAGAGGTTAAGAGAGTGGTGAAGCAATGTAAAAAGAGAGCAAATGAGAGAGTGGGTGAGATGTTATCAACAAATTTTGTTGAAAATAAGAAAAAGTTTTGGAGTGAGATTAACAAGTTAAGAAAGCCTAGAGAACAAATGGATTTGTCAGTTAATGTCAGTTAAAAATAGGAGAGGACAGTTATTAAATGGAGAGTTAGAGGTATTGGGAAGATGGAGGGAATATTTTGAGGAATTGTTAAAGGTTGATGAAGATAGGGAAGCTGTGATTTCGTGTATAGGGCAAGGAGGAACAACATCTTGTAGGAGTGAGGAAGAGCCAGTTATGAGTGTGGGGGAAGTTCGTGAGGCAGTAGGTAAAATGAAAGGGGGTAAGGCAGCCGGGATTGATGGGATAAAGATAGAAATGTTAAAAGCAGGTGGGGATATAGTTTTGGAGTGGTTGGTGCAATTATTTAATAAATGTATGGAAGAGGGTAAGGTACCTAGGGATTGGCAGAGAGCATGCATAGTTCCTTTGTATAAAGGCAAAGGGGATAAAAGAGAGTGCAAAAATTATAGGGGGATAAGTCTGCTGAGTATACCTGGCAAAGTGTATGGTAGAGTTATTATTGAAAGAATTAAGAGTAAGACGGAGAATAGGATAGCAGATGAACAAGGAGGCTTTAGGAAAGGTAGGGGGTGTGTGGACCAGTTGTTTACAGTGAAACATATAAGTGAACAGTATTTAGATAAGGCTAAAGAGGTCTTTGTGGCATTTATGGATTTGGAAAAGGCGTATGACAGGTGGATAGGGGGGCAATGTGGCATATGTTGCAAGTGTATGGTGTAGGAGGTAGGTTACTGAAAGCAGTGAAGAGTTTTTACGAGGATAGTGAGGCTCAAGTTAGAGTATGTAGGAAAGAGGGAAATTATTTCCCAGTAAAAGTAGGCCTTAGACAAGGATGTGTGATGTCACCGTGGTTGTTTAATATATTTATAGATGGGGTTGTAAGAGAAGTAAATGCGAGGGTCTTGGCAAGAGGCGTGGAGTTAAAAGATAAAGAATCACACATAAAGTGGGAGTTGTCACAGTTGCTCTTTGCTGATGACACTGTGCTCTTGGGAGATTCTGAAGAGAAGTTGCAGAGATTGGTGGATGAATTTGGTAGGGTGTGCAAAAGAAGAAAATTGAAAGTGAATACAGGAAAGAGTAAGGTTATGAGGATAACAAAAAGATTAGGTGATGAAAGATCGGATATCAGATTGGAGGGAGAGAGTATGGAGGAGGTGAATGTATTCAGATATTTGGGAGTGGATGTGTCAGCGGATGGGTCTATGAAAGATGAGGTGAATCATAGAATTGATGAGAGGAAAAGGGTGAGTGGTGCACTTAGGAGTCTGTGGAGACAAAGAACTTTGTCCTTGGAGGCAAAGAGGGGAATGTATGAGAGTATAGTTTTACCAACGCTCTTATATGGGTGTGAAGCATGGGTGATGAATGTTGCAGCGAGGAGAAGGCTGGAGGCAGTGGAGATGTCATGTCTGAGAGCAATGTGTGGTGTGAATATAATGCAGAGAATTCGTAGTTTGGAAGTTAGGAGGAGGTGCGGGATTACCAAAACTGTTGTCCAGAGGGCTGAGGAAGGGTTGTTGAGGTGGTTCAGACATGTGGAGAGAATGGAGCGAAACAGAATAACTTCAAGAGTGTATCAGTCTGTAGTGGAAGGAAGGCGGGGTAGGGGTCGGCCTAGGAAAGGTTGGAGGGAGGGGTAAAGGAGGTTTTGTGTGCGAGGGCTTGGACTTCCAGCAGGCATGCGTGAGCGTGTTTGATAGGAGTGAATGGAGACAAATGGTTTTTAATACTTGACGTGCTGTTGGAGTGTGAGCAAAGTAACATTTATGAAGGGGTTCAGGGAAACCGGCAGGCCGGACTTGAGTCCTGGAGATGGGAAGTACAGTGCCTGCACTCTGAAGGAGGGGTGTTAATGTTGCAGTTTAAAAACTGTAGTGTAAAGCACCCTTCTGGCAAGACAGTGATGGAGTGAATGATGGTGAAAGTTTTTCTTTTTCGGGCCACCCTGCCTTGGTGGGAATCGGCCAGTGTGATAATAAAATAAAATAAAATTCTTGTTTTCTTGGTCTCATTTGATAGAATGGAAAATACATAGAAATAGAAGTGATTTTGATTGGTTTTACTATGAAAAGGATCTTGAAATGGAGCTCAAAGTGGCAGAAATGTTTGATTTTTGCCGATGTTGAAGAGTAAACAAATGATGTCGTTGTCCAATAAATGTCCAACTAGCCATTCTTATTTGCAGTCACGAATGGGTTGATGTTATTTATACAATTATTACAATATTGCAGTAGTCTGCATAACAGTAAATCTTCTATTTTTTGTGTGAATAAAAATTCAAAACATAAAGCAAGAGGATTATAACGGGCCAGGAGATGTGACTGATAAATGTTATTTTAGTGCCAAGAATGTCTGCATTGTTCATTCTGGACCCTATTTGAAATTGACATATTTTTTAATTTGCATGAAATTGGCCAAATTGCCAATTTCTGACCACTTTATTGGATAGTTGAAGTCGGTAAATGGGCGGTTTCTTGTACTCAGTCAATAGAACAAATGGAGTTCTAAAGAAATAGCTATGAGTTTGGTGGACTGGAACAATGGAATTGACTGAAAATGGGGCTCAAAGTGGGCAAAATCGCCGATGCATAAATGTCACCAGGAGACACCGCAGGATTAGGGGTTGCCACAGTCGAAGGGTTAAGGAGTTTGAGGTGCCACAAATAAGGGAGTCAGGGTTGAAGGTTTTATGTGCCAGTTCCATAGCCCTGCAAATAAGTGTACCTAGGTAAGTTAATAACTTTGTAATTTTTTTTTTCACCATTTGCTTCCTGGTAATGTAGGGATACCTAAAGAATTAAATATATTCACCATCTTTCATTCTGTAGGTGTCTTTCCAGAAGGCCTCGTGTCATGATCCAAAGATGGACTTCTGAACTACAATATCCCCACCCCACTTTTAAGGTGCAGGTTCACTGCATATGTTGTACATCTATCTCTTGATGGTTATGTGCTGTATTAGGCCACCAAGTCTAGATTGTACTCCTTTGTGGTTACAGGGGTCGAGTCTCGGCTCTTTGCCCTGCCTCTCAACTTGCCACTTGCAAAATTCACACACTCCTAGCCTTGTGGGGCCCTTTCGTTCCTATTCTTAAAACTATGTATGGAGTCTTCCTTCACTACTACTACATCGTGGTCATTCCACTTCTCGACCACCCTGAGAGTGAAGAAATACTTCTTGGCATCCCTGTGACTCGTCTGTTTTTAACTTCCAGATGTGCTCCCTGAGTATCTACTTCTTACCTTTCAAACTGCTTGTCCCTGTTTACCCTATCAATTCCTCTGAGTATTTTGTATGTTATGTGTCCCCCTGGTCCTTCTTTCCTCCAGAGTCATAAGATTTAATTCCTTTGGCCTTTCTTCAAAGCTCATACCCTTAGCTCTAGAACTAGGCTTGTTGAATGCTTCTGCACTGTCTCCAGTTTTTAAACTCTTCCTTAGGTGTGGAGTTCCATACTGTGCTGTGTAGTCCAAGATGGTCCTGAAATGTGTAAACCACACAGAATGATTCTTTGTTTAAATTCCTCAAGGCCACTCTGATTTGCCAAACAGGCATTGGCTGCAGAGGTTATTCAGTTGATGTACTCATCTATAAGTGTGCAGGGGTTGAGTCTCATCCCCTGGCCCCGCCTCTTTACTTGCTGCTTACCAGATGCACTCCCTCCTAGCCTCTGGCATTATGGTAAGCACTGTGTATACTTCCAGATCCTTCTCTTTGAATGAGGTCTGTAGCTTCTCCACCTGAGTCTATTCTTCATAACTTTGCATTTACCTGGGTTGAATCTGGCTAATCCTGCAGTTTGTCCAGATTCTGTTGCAGCGTTTCTCCATCCTCATCTGTTCATATTCTCATTGGGTTTACATCATCAGCGAACATCTGACTCAGTTTCTTCTGATATATTCACATAAACAGCACTAGTCCTAATGCCAATCCCTGTGGTACACTGCTTTTTACTTATCCCCCATTCTGATATCTTTTCCTGGACAATCACTCCTTTATCCACAGGAGTACGTTCCCGGTTATTCCTTCCTGTCTCTCAAGTTTTGCCCGTCTTATGAGGTACAGTATCAAATACTTTGTGGTCCAAGAAAATGTAATCAACCCAACCTGTTTCACTTTCCGTACTTTGTCATAGGATTCCAAAAGATTGTTAAGATTGTTTATGAAACTTCTTTCTAAGTCCTCTACTACTACTGACTATCTTCTCCATTACCGTGCATCGTATACTTGTTAGCAAAACTGGTCTGTAGCTTAGTGTCTCCTGCCTATCTCCTTTTTTAAATATTTTTACTATGTTCACTGTCTTCCAAATCTCTGGCAACTGCTCCATGGTCATTGACTTGTAGATCAGAGCTAGTGGTTCAGACAGTACTTCTGCTACCTCTTGCAGAATCATTGATGACTCCATGTCGGGTCCCACCACCTTTATGTCTACTGTTGTGTGCATGGTACCTGCTGATGTACTCTGTGGGCTTTCACGCATTACCCATGTTTCCATTAAGAAGACCTTTAAATCATTTTATTCAGCACTTTCTTGCAGACTTTTTTGCCATTTTCCATGAGCTCTCCCTTCTTCATTTGAATTACCTGGTCTTTCACCATTGTTTTTCTCTGATGTGGTTGTGAGGTAGTTTTGGTTCAGACTTATCCTTGGTTGCTATATCATCCTCGTATTGTCACTCATCCTCTCTCCTCACCCTTGCATGTTCATTTTTGGCTAGTCTGCTCACTTTTCTGCTCTCATATGTCCTTTGCTTTCTATGCTTTTTTGCTTCTCTTTTTTGGCCTCTCTGCATCTTTGGTTGAATCATGGGCTCTTTGTCATTTTTGTTTCCTGCTCTTTGTCTAGGTATGAAATTTTCCCACTTTATTTCTGCCATAACCTTTTAATTTATTATTTATTAACTTTCTGGTGACTTTTTCTCCAAAGCAAAACAAGAAACAAAGCCATTACTGAATCGAGTAACTACATTATTTTTATTAAAGGTTGAGGTTGTAATCACTAAATCCTCCTCTGTTTATTCATATAGGAGTATTTAATTGAATAAATTAGAGCACTCATTAGAGGAGATTTGTGATTTATTTTTTTTATTTAAGGGAACCATGGAAGAAAAAATCTACTCTCGGCAAGTAACTAAAATGTCAACAGCCTTGCGAGTAGTGGATGAACATCAGATTAAGCGCTATTTTAAAATGGATGAATTGGCCCAACTCTATGAGTTTAATCCAGCCGATGTTGAAAAACGTGATATACCCATTGTGCCAGAGGTAAGAAAAATGTACCCTTTTTCCAGCTTATATCTGCAAACTGAATAAGAGTGTATTTAATGGTAATTTTGTTTTAATTTTATTAACTTTTGCTGTTGTAACTGCTGAAATTAAAAATGCTGGCTGTGTCACAATTTAAAAATAATTTTTTTTTTTTAACACGGCCATTTCCCACCAAGGCAGGGTGACCCAAAAAGAAAGAAAAACCCTAAAAGAAAGAAAAAACTTTTATCATTCAAACTTTCACCATCACTCATACATAATCACTGCAGAGGCACCCAGATACAACAGTTTAGATGTCCCTCCAAACTGAAAATATCCCAAACCCCTCCTTTAAACTGCAGGCATTGAATTTTCCATTTCTAGGACTCAAGTCCGGCTAACCGATATCCCTGAATCCCTTCACAAATTATTACTGTGCTTACACTCCAACAGCTCGTCAGGCCTCTAAAACCATTAGTCTCCACTCCTATCTAACACACTCATGCACGCTTGCTGGAAGTCCAAGCCCCTCGCCCACAAAGCCTCCTTTACTCCACTCCCTTCAACCTTTTCAGGGCCGACCCCTATCCCTCCTTCCTTCCCCTACAGATTTATACGCTCTCCAAGTCTTTCTACTTTGTTCCATTCTCTCTAAATGACCAAACCATCTCAACAGCCCCTCTTCAGCCCTCTTGACTAATAATTTTAGTAACTCCACACCTCCTCCTAATTTCCACACTGTGAATTCTGTGCATAATATTTACTCCACACATTAGCCTTAGACTGGACATCTCCACTGCCTCCAGCCTCCTGCTCGCTGCAGCATTTGCAACCCATCCTTTACACCCATATAAGAGTCTTGGTACCACTATATTCTTGTACATTCCCTTCTTTGCCTCCTTGGATAATGTTTTTTGTCTCCACAGATACTTCAATGCACCACTCATCTTTTTTCCTTCATCAGTTCTATAGTTAACCTCATCCTTCATAAACCTATCTGCTGACAAGTCAACTCCTAAAAATATGAAAACATTGACTTCTTCCATACTCCCTCCCTCCATGATATGATAGAAAATATTTTTCTGAAGGTAATGATGCCAAATTTGAACTCCAATGGAGCTAAGCTCAAAACATAAATCTACTTAGTGATGCTGGCATCTGTGATGTAGAATACACAAGAAACAGAAAGAGTTATTATAATTACTTGCTGTCTTAAATATTTTTCCCTGAATGAGAGAAAATGAAATTCTTTCCATCACTCCAACAATTCACCCAGCAGCCACATCTTATATTTTATGTCAGTTTGCTCTACAATGGTTGTATGTATTATATGATAAGTAGCATGTCTCTTGTATAATTTTTAAAAAATATCGTTGATGGATAATGAAAACGTCTATAGTAATGTAATATGACACTGAAAGCACCCTGCGTGATTATTATTATTATTATTATTATTAGTAGTAGTAGTAGTAGTAATAGTATTGTGCTTATTGCGTCTTCAACTCTAGTGAGACACTCGTAGTGATTTTAATGTGTACCTGCATTCCAGCATAGTGTGTAAGCTTGTTTAGGTACAGGTACACGTAAGTACAGTTCTCAGAGTATATATAAAATATGTAATAACTTTAAAACACTTGAAATTTTGGAAAGTTTTCAGACATAATCGAAAGAAGCAGAGCTCATGAATGATGTAAACTGTGGCATGCAGATACCATAATAGCAAATCAGAGAGCCGTATAAATGAATTTTTGGTTATACAGTAGGACCTCTGTATCCACAGTTCTAGTTTCTGCAGTTTAAGTTATCTTCTGTTTGCCACGGCTCGAAAATAACCCTTAAATTTGCCTTATAATGGAACCAGAGCACAAAAGTTGTGATGGTGGTGGTTATTCAAAGCCTGGGAGAAGCCGTGATGTGCTTCTTATTATTGAAAAAGTGCTAATTCTCCAATTACTGTGTAATTTATCAACTGGATGTAAACAAAAACCGACTTGTACATATGGTTCACTACTATCCGTGGTTTCGGGTATTCACAGTAGGTCATGGACTGTATCCTCCACAGATATGGGGGTCCTACTTTAATTTGAAATGTCCATCTTAGAGAATCGCCGTAAAGTGGGGCCCTCCTGTAATTGTTAAAAACATGTAAATTAAAGGAGGGGTTTGGGATATTGGCAGTTTGGAGGGATATGTTGTGTATCTTTATACGTATATGTTTCTAAACTGTTGTATTCTGAGCACCTCTGCAAAAAAACAGTGATTATGTGTGAGTGAGGTGAAAGTGTTGAATGATGATGAAAGTATTTTCTTTTGGGGGATTTTTTCTTTCTTTTTGGGTCGCCCTGCCTCAGTGAGAGACGGCCGACTTGTTAGAAACAAAAAAAATGTAAATTATAAACTGTTTAGAACCATGTTATAAAAAGTATTACTGTATCCAGCCATTTATGAATGGAGGGTGAAAGAGCCTTTCAGTTATTGAAAAAAAAGTGTGAAGAGACAACAGGTGGAATTACTGTTCCACCTGTTCTCTCTCCACACTACTGTTCCACCTGCTGTCTCTCCACACTACTGTTCCACCTGCTGTCTCTCCACACTACTGTTCCACCTGCTGTCTCTCCACACTACTGTTCCACCTACTGTCTCTCCACACTACTGTTCCACCTGCTGTCTCTCCACTACTGTTCCACCTACTGTCTCTCCACACTACTGTTCCACCTGCTGTCTCTCCACACTACTGTTCCACCTGCTCTCTCTCCACACTACTGTTCCACCTGCTGTCTCTCCACTACTGTTCCACCTACTGTCTCTCCACACTACTGTTCCACCTGCTGTCTCTCCACTACTGTTCCACCTACTGTCTCTCCACACTACTGTTCCACCTACTGTCTCTCCACTACTGTTCCACCTACTATCTCTCCACACTACTGTTCCACCTACTGTCTCTCCACTACTGTTCCACCTACTGTCTCTCCACACTACTGTTCCACCTGCTGTCTCTCCACTACTGTTCCACCTACTGTCTCTCCACACTACTGTTCCACCTACTGTCTCTCCACACTACTGTTCCACCTACTGTCTCTCCACACTACTGTTCCACCTGCTGTCTCTCCAGTCTATTTTTTTGCTAGTACACATGACAACTCTGATTTCATTTATAATGCTTTGAAGTACCTCGCATTTTAACACTTAAATCATTTTCAGGATCGGCTCCTAGCTGAGATGTTGAAACGACATAAGCAGTGGATTGTTGATTATCATGAACATGACTCTCTCTTGGAAAATCAAACAAGTGAAGAACTTTCAGAAGAAGAGCGTAAAGCTGCTTGGGAAGACTACGAAAATGAAAAAAAAGGCTTTAGTAAGTAATAAATTTTCAGATATATGGGATACATAAGATTTTTTTTTTACTACATGCTGTAAAATATTCTAAAAGAATTTTTTTTTAGCGCTCTGGCCATGAGGTTCTATCTCGAGGACTCAAGTCTAGGGGTCTGCCTAGGAAAGGTTGGAGGGAGGGGGTGAGGGGTTTTGAATTTAAGCAAGTATGCGTGAACATGTTAGATAGGAACAAATGGAGACAAATAGCTTTTAGGACTTGACGTGCTGTTGGAGTGTGGACAAGGTAACATTTATAGAGAGATTAAGGGAAACTGGCAGGTGGACTTGAGTGTCCTTGAGATGGGAAGTACAGTGCTTGCACTCTGAAGGAGGGGTGTGAATGTTGCAGTTTTATAACTGTAGTGTAACCACACCTTTGGCAAGACAGTGATGGAGTGAATGATGAAAGTTTTTCTTTTTCAGGCCACCCTGCCTGGTGGGAAATGGCCGATGTGTTAATAAAAAAAAAAAAACCATGGTGACATTTCACATCCCTGTCTAAGACCTACTTTTACTGGAAAGTAATCTCCCTCTCCTACACACCCTAACTTGAATTTATATAACACTAGTTTACTATAACACTAATTATAGTATTAAAAGGCTCCAGAAAAAGACTCCTTTTGTATTGGAAGCCACTTTCATAGTAAATTGCATTATACCTGACAAGACCTTGAGATTCCAGGTGCTTGACTCGCCAGTCATGCACTAATGTAATCAGAGACTTGCAGTTCCAGGAGCTCGCAGAATGTGAGGGTGTAGAGCATCAGAGAGGTTGACAGTAATTTGAGAGATTGACAACTACTGTCTCTTAAATATGCATATTAGATAATATTGTTCATTATGCATACTCTCCTTGAGTTATTAACAATGACTCTTATTAAAGAGATGCATATGAAAGATATTTGAAATATGATCTTATGAATGACAATCCACATTTGAGTCTTGGAAGTGAGAAGTACAGTGCCTGCACTCTGATGGACGAGTGGAGGTGTTGCAGATTGAACTGTGATAACAAAAAAAAGGCACAATACCGTGACTGGAACGATACACAAATAACCCGCACATAAAAGAGAGAAGCTTACGACGACATTTCAGTCCGACTTGGACCATTGACAAAGTCACACTAACCAGAAGTGGAGCAGGACGGCTATATATAGGCAGGAAGAGGTGGTGGTGGTGGTGTAGTAGTAGTAAGTACAAAAATGGTATATAATACCTACAAGATGAAATTAAGACACATGCGCAACACCCGGGCATCCCTATCGTAGACGTTTCGCCATCCAGCCAGCCACTGGATGGCGAAACGTCCACAACAAAGACAACCAGATGCCACACATGTGTCTTAATTTCATCAGTAGTAGTAGTAGTAGTAGAAGAGGTAGTGGTAGTGTTAGAAGTGGGAAATAAGGAGGACGAGCCAGTCAAAAACAAAGGAAGGGGAGCACTGCAAGAGAGCTAGGTGCCCACTGAGGGAGAGCAAGCGCACAGAGGTGCGTGAAAGGGGAAGTGGGAAATAAATGAAGAAGGAACGGAAACACGAGGCAGAAGAGAGAAAGAGAACCCAGAGGAGAAAAGGAAAGAGGAAAGGGGAAGAGGGAGAAGAAGAAAAAGACGGCGACTGTTCGAGTTGGAAGTAGGGAAGACAGTTTTAGCAGAAGACCAGTCAATAGGATGGCTATGATCTCTGACATGACAGAAAAGAGCATTGTTAGTGTCGGCAAGCCTAACACTATTTTTATGCTCCTTAAATCTGTCAGAAAGAGATCGACCAGATTCTCCGAAGTATTGAAGAGGACAGGAGGAGCAAGAAATAGAGTAGACACCAGGAACAACTGTAGAGGGAGGAGAGGTATGAACGAGATTAGTGCGAAGAGTGTTAGTCTGGCGGAAGGTAAGCTTGATGTCTAAGGGACAGAGAGAATTGTTGAGATTAGAAAGACTGGAAATGTAGGGAAGGCAGAGGATAGAAGAGTTCCCAGGAGTAGAGAGTTTGGGAGAGAAGAAATTGCATTTAGCACGTGAGAGGGCAGAGTCTATGAAATGGGAAGGGTAGCCAAGACGGGAAAACGAATTATGAAGAGTGGAAATTTCTGCTGGAAGGAACTGAGGATCACAGATCCGGAGGGCACGGAGAAAGAGGGAGATAAGAACACTTTTCTTGACAGGGGAAGCATGATAGGAAAAGTAGTGAATGTACATGCCACTGTGCATAGGTTTTCGGTAAACGGAAAAGGAAAAACCTGTATCTGAGTGGTGGACATGGACATCAAGGAAAGGAAGCAAGGAATTAGATTCCCATTCAGCTTTAAACTTAATGGAAGGGGCAAGATTATTAGAGCTTCAAGAAAAGGTTGGAAGAGAACTGGAGTCATGAGGCCACAGAGCAAAGATGTCATCCACATAGCGGAGCCAGAGTGAGGTTGCACATCGAGGGTAGGAAGAACAGTCTCGAGTACTCCATGTAAGATTAGCAGGACAGGAGAGAGAGGAGAGCCCATAGCGACACCGAAGGTTTGAGAATGATATTTCCTTGGAAGGAAAGGAGTTAGTCCACACAGAGGCGGATAAGATCAAGAAAGACATCAGTAGGTATAGGGAGATGAAGAAACCCTTCATGGGCCTTCTCTCTAAGGAAATCAAGGACATCATCAGAGGGACATTGGTGAAGAGGGACTCAACGTCAAGACTAAGCATCTTACAGGTTGGGAGAGAGCGAACCGTTCAATGAAGTCTTGAGAGTGACGGAGGTGGGCAGGAGAAAAAGTACCAAGAAAGGGAGTGAGGGTTTTGGCCAACCAAGAAGCAAGAGAATAAGAGACAGAGCCTCTAGAGGATATGATAGGACGAAGCGGAATATCAGGTTTATGAGTTTTGGGAAGGCCATAGAAATAGGGAAGAGAGGGACAGATGACACGAAACCGTTGAACAAGGTCAAAGTCAGGAGGACAGAGGTCGGAGAGAGTCCTTAGTTTTTTGTTGAAAGTTCTCTTGATGCGATCAAGAGGGTTGGAAACGAGAGGATTGTAGGTACGCGAGTCAGAGAGCAAGACATCAGCTTTACGGAAGTAATCCTTGCGATCAAGGATAACTACCGAATTACCTTTGTCAGAAGATAGTATGACAGTGTTAGTGTTGGATTTAAGAGAAGAAAGGGCAAGTTGGTAACGGCGTGGAAGGTGGTGATTCTTAGAAAACAGACTAACAAGAGCAGGAAGGAGAGCACCACGGAAAGTGGACAAATCAGGAAGATTACGGGAGCGAGATTGACGAAAGGAATCAAAAGAGCTAATCAGGGAAATACCAGCATGAGGAGTAGGCGAAGTGGCAGAGGAAAGGCCAAAACCAAGAAGTTCAAGCTCATACTGAGAGAGTGAGACAGAAGACAGGTTAGTAACACAGTCAGTGAGGGAGAATTTAGACCAAGGGCTATCGGAGATGAGACGTTGAAGTTTATTCTCTAGTTTGAAAGAATGAATTTGTGTATTCAGGCGAGCAGTGTCAAAGGCAATGGTAGAGAGAAGGTTACAGAGATCCTGTGGTAGAGCTGCAAAGAGAGCACGTTGACGCTGACGGAAAGTAAAGAAGGCATCTTCAACCTGTGATTTAGTAGAGAGAATGAGCTGTTGAAGTAGGAGACAGGCATGATCAGGAAAGGGAGTGCCCAGTGGGTTGGTTTTCAGGAAGTGGGAGAAGGAAGGGGGGAGAACTTGTTCAGCAAGACAGTCACGTAGGAAGCGAAGCTGATTCTTACGACGCCTGGTAGCAATAAGAGCAGCCTCATAAGATCGAAAGAGGGGTTTAAAAGAGGGAAGGACATTAAAAAAGTTGGAGAGAATATGACGCTTAACTGCGAGGTCCATAAATAACAAAAAAAGGCACAATACCGTGACTGGAACGATACACAAATAACCCGCACATAAAAGAGAGAAGCTTACGACGACGTTTCGGTCCGACTTAGACCATTGACAAAGTCACACTAACCAGAAGTGGAGCAGGACGGCTATATATAGGCACATGTGCGGTGTCTGGTTGTCTTTGTTGTGGACGTTTCGCCATCCAGTGGCTGGATGGATGGCGAAACGTCTACGATAGGGATGCCCAGGTGTTGCGCATGTGTCTTAATTTCATCTTGGCGGTATTATATACCATTCTTGTACTACTACCACCACCACCACCACCTCTTCCTGCCTATATATAGCCGTCCTGCTCCACTTCTGGTTAGTGTGACTTTGTCAATGGTCCAAGTCGGACCGAAACGTCGTCGTAAGCTTCTCTCTTTTATGTGCGGGTTATTTGTGTGTTGAACTGTGATGTCTGCACACTTTTGGCAAGACTGTTATTGAATGAATGATGGTGAATGTGCCCCATCCCCCTTTACCCTTTTTTCATCACCTTACCTCGAAGGGAGACAGCCAGTGTGAAAAAATTAGAGAGTGCCTGAACTACTTTGCATGTTAGAGTTGTAAATATCCTGTATTATATGTTGACACAGGGTAAAGAATTAGCCCAGCAACTTTGCTTGCTGATATCATCATTGTTTTATTTTTTGTTTTGAACTTGGAAAACATCTTTTCATCATGCCTTGAGTGCAGGAATATTGCTGTTGATTCCCCTTTTCATTATTATTATATTTCTTAGGTCATATGAAAAGAGCATTTTTTTTCTTTTACCTACCAGTGAAAAGGCACAGTATGTAATAAAAGTTATTGGTAAAATATGTATTTCTCAAATATATTTTTATGGAAAATTAAATTCTGAATTCTGAACAGCCAACTTATGAGTTACCATTAATACTGTAGCTTGTTCGCAACTTGAGGAACGTCTGTATTCTAGTTAATAATATTGCCCTGCCTTTTCCACTCCCTCTCTCTCACATTGCTGAGTAATAAGACAGTTATTAGCATTAAGAATGTGGTTCTTTGTTGATATTAATAATTATGTATGTAGTACTGCCCAAGCATGGCAGGTTAATGGAGGTGGGAGGGTGTAGGAGGAAAGAAGTC